AGGCTGTGCAGAGGGGCAGCGAGCTCTGGCTGTGATGGTGTGGCCCAGGCAGGTTCTGACCCCTGAGGCCTCTGTGATCAGCTTTGTATATGAAGATAAAAATCTCTGCCCTTTATTCAAGTGGCATAGCTGGGCATGGTGACACACACCTGTGACCCCTGCACTCCTGGACGCTGATGCAGAAAGATCTCAGGTTTCAACCCAGCCTGGACAACTTGGCCCGACTGTCTCAGAATTAAAAGAGGGGTGGGCCTGTAGCCAGAACCCCAGCTTTGGTTCACCTTTGGGGCCTGGGTGGACCGTGCTGCCTGGTGTGACGTGTGTGAGAATTCAGAAGGTCCAAGGGTGGTGAAGAGAGGAACTGGGGCCGAGAGCTGCAGTTCACACTGCCTCCATCCGGGAAGCTGCAAAAGAATCGTCCCATGTCTTGTCTTTCCAGTGGGGCTAGTAAGTCCTGGGCCATCACCGAGGTTAAAGGGCACATGGACAGCATCCAGTGGAGACCTATTCATGCTCAGTACCCATTAGCTGTTGTTTGTGTCCATCTCTCCGTAACTTGTGACTTGAAAGAACAAAGCTAGCTGCACAAATCACGGGCATGCACCTTCTTCCTGAACTCTGAGCTTCGTTGACATCAGCACCTCCTGTCCCTCTCACTGTTCCCTGGTGGGTCCCAGTTTGCATTTTTGTGCCTCAGAGGTCAGTGGAGTTCTGCAGAGTCACTCAGCTAGGGGTGGCAGAGCTCGACTGGACCCTGCTTGCCTGGCTCCACCACTGCTCCCGAAGTGCAGTCCCATGCAGGAGACTCTTCTCAGGCTCTGCCCCCCACACACACACAGACCACCGCCCACTGACTCTGAGCCTCCCCAGGTCTCCTGGGGTGGAGAAGTGGTGCCCCATTCTCCTCTCTCACACACAGTGGGGTCCGACACTTGCTCCTAAGCAAGAGCAGGATTGGCAGACTTGCAACTGGGGTTTCTGTACCTTCTGGCTGCCCTGTCACCCAGAGTGCAGCAGGAGGAGGAGGAGGCAACACTTTAGGGTGCTGCCGTGAGAACCTTGGGAAGGAAGGGCAGGTGACACACAGGAAGTGCGCACCCTGCGTCTGCGGCTTGGACGTGGAGGCTGGATTCCCTGCCCAGAGAGGGCTCGCTTTGCCACCTTTGATCCCCAGTCATCAGAGCAGCCGGGAAGAGCATCTCCGGGCTGGGCACTCCTGGGTGTGAGGAGATGGGAGAGAGGGTCAGCACCGTCCTCTTGAGCCTGGTACCCGCGGAGCATACTTGGGGGGGACCCAGAAGTGTGGAGGGGCGAGGCTTCGCTGTTAATCAGCTGGACTGTTGTACGGCATCACCATATCACCAACAGGAGATGTGGACATTGCTTTCTTGGTTCTGGAGGCTGAACTCTTGAGTTCCGGGCAGTGCTCCAGTCCCATGGGAGCCCCCTGCCCAGCTCGGCTTCTCCCAGGAGCCTCACTACATGACCTCAGCCAAGCCCAGTGATTTCCCAGAGCCTGCACCGCTGAGGTTGGGGTGGAGTCTGCAGATCTAGGGAGACCCTGTGCAGCCCACAGCACCTCCCTCATCAAAGCCCGGTGGCCATCGAGGCAGTGGGCTGCAGCCAGCGCTGACTGATGGGACATGCGCCCCCCACGCACCCAGGGCAGTGAGCCTTTTGGGCCTGCACTGATCTTGGGGTTCGGTCTGGTGGGTGTGGAGGTTAGTGGATTGAAGGAGAGGGGGTCTGAGCAGAGGTGGGAGGGTCTCCCTGGGTACCAGCCAGGCCTCCTGCAGGAGCAGCAGATCCTGCCAGCATAGGGCTTGTCCTGACTTCTAACCGCTGAGACCCTTGTTGGTTTGGAGACCCTGTTGGTGGAGCGCCCCCAGGTCTGGGGTGTGCCACAAAGACACCTTTAAGGCAAGTGCTATCTCTAATGTGCAGTTAAGCAAACTGAGGCTAAGGCTGGTCTCGCACTCCCAGCAAGGCAAGGAGTGGGGTTTTCGGCTCATGTCCTCCTCCAGTGCCCACTGTACCCACACCCCACGTGCCACTGTCTTCCGAAGACCTCTCCATTCTTTGCCCACCTCAGAGTACTCTATTGCATGGCTGAGAAATGACACTGAGAGAAAAAAAGGAGACAAGGCGCTCCCAGCAGCCCTGGATGCTGCTCTGAGCCCAGTTCCAAGTCTGAGCCAGCAGGGCCCCATCACCATTTCTCCTTAGGGCTGAAGAATTTGTGGGGTCACCTAGTCATGGGTGGAGACATAAAGGGGGTTCTGGGTGGGATGCCACTCAGACTCCACAGCCACTTGGACCTGGTCACCTGGAAGCAGTGCCCAGGGAGCATGGGCACCACATCCCTGCTAGCTGGAAGGCCCTGGTGCCATAGGAGGGCCCCCAAGGAGGAGGAAGTCACTGTGTAGGGGTCTGGCCGCTCTCTGACTGGTGGATGACCCCACGGATTAAGGAGGTTGTCAGATGACTCACTGACACAGAAGGCAGGGCCTCTGCGAGAGGGCGGGAGGAGGGGGGTCCTGATCCCTAGAGCACCAGGAAGTGGCTGAGACTTCATGCCCACTGCTCCTGCGTGCAAGATCTGGTGGAGAGCCTGAGGCCAGCACAGCTCCCTCTCATGTCCCAGTGCCTTCCACTGGCAAAGGACAGGCTGTGTCTTTTCTGGCCTCTTTCTCTTTCCATTGTGGTGAGGACTGGAAGTGAACCTGAGCATGGGTGTGGCCATCAGTGAGTGCCCGGTCCATGTCCATTTCGGTTGATTTTGCCCCATGTGCATCTCCCTAACTCCAGAGAAGAAGGCGGCAGGTTAGTATTCCCTGTGCCTGGGACTGACCATGCTGCCCACGACCACAGGGCAGACACAGGGTTGGTGGCTGTACCACCAGGTCTTGTGTACTGCGCTCCCTCAGCTCCACCGCCAGGGCCTGAACTGGGGCTTCTCCCACCTGGAACCTGCCCAAGTCTCGAAGCCCAAAAGCATGGCACGTTGGGGAATGGTACGCAGTAGCCTGACTTTATTTTTTAATGCAGTGCTGGAGGTGCACCCTGTGCTTTTGCATCAAGCTTCATCCCTACAACCCCAGCCCTTTGTTTTTATTTTTAAGAAGTTCTCAACTAAGTTGACCAGGCTGGGCTTGAACTTGAGATCCTTTTGCCCCAGAGTGCTAGAACGACCTGTGTGCATCCCCACATCTATTTATCTGAATCTATGAAAACAGGCTCTCGGCAGCTCTTCCATTATGGCTTCCCCCTCCCCAGTGCTCCTTTACGTAAACGTACAATGTGATGTGGACAGGTGATGTCTACTTGGGAGGAGGGAGCCCACCCCCAGGGAAGGTGGGACTGTGGCCATGAGACCCGCGTGGGACCGGGGCACAGCATGAGCACCGACGCGCCTTGTGTTCATCCTCAGCCTGTTCTCAGGTAGCTCTGTTCTTGGTTTTAAGCGCATCTTGACAATACAGATAAATCCAGAGGCGCAAAGTGACACTTCCCAGATCCTGAGCCAACTTGGTGGTCCTGTTGCTCTCAAAATCGCCCCCGTACTTCTGGGTGGGGATCCCCCAGCTAGTCCTCCGGCCTCTTTTTTCTGGAGATCCGTGGTCTGGGCTGTGCACAAAGACCCAGAAGGCCAGGAAAGGGCAGGTGCCTGAGTTCAAGTCAGCGACTCCCGTGTCCCAAGCTTTGGTTCTCAGGTGTGGCCATCCTGGCTAATCAACAGTAAGGCTGCCAGGCCTACGAACATTTATTTTTAAAAAAAAATAAGGGTGAGGGGCTGGTGAGATGGCTCAGTGGTCTAAAGCACCTATTTGGAACAGGCATGGAAAAGCACAGGGACCGTGGTTCAATCCCCCAGCATCACATGCCAGCCAGCCCCGCCCCCTGGTGGGCTGAGCTGGCCACACACACACACACAAATAATTTTTAAAAAAAATAATAAGGGTGAATGAGGGCAAATCCAAGATTATACTATCTCCGTAGCTTCCCACCTTACAGGATTGAGAAGGATTCAGCCACAGTAAACAAGAAGGAAGCAGATCCTCTGTGACCATGGCTAATGCCTTGGTAGCGCCCAGCCCTGGCTGTGCTGCCCAGGAGATAAATGCTGAAAGTTCACAGCGCGGCCTCCCCTGCAGCTGCCCCACCATCCCATGCCGAGGCCTAATATTCCCCGAATTTCCAGATGAGGATAAAGAGTCACAGTGAAGCAAGGTCACCCCGTGACAGAGCTGAGAACACACTCTTGCAAAATGGGGCGTCAGTCCCTGGGAAATTCCCATTGCTTTTTGCCCAGATTCTTTTTTTTTTTTTTCTTTTAATTTGTGTGTGTCTGTGTGTGTGTGTGGCCAGCTCAGCCCACCAGGGGGCAGGGCTGGCTGGTATGTGGTGCTGGGGCATTGAACCGCGGTCCCTGTGCTTTGCTAAGCTTGTTCTAAGTAGGTGCTTTAGACCACTGAGCCATCTCACCAGCCCCTGCTCAGATTCTTGAGGAGGGCCATGAAATGGAGACGGGTGGGGTGAGGGTGCAGTCGGCTCCCACAGAGCAGGGTCAGCTGGTCGGTGGGCCTGGCCGCCCTGGGTGTCCAAGACCTTGAGGAAGATCTAGAAAGCTAGATGGGGTGGAATCCACCCTTTCAAGCGCCCTTAAGGGAGCGAGGGATTGTTTTGTGTTTGTGGAGCTAGGTACAGAGCTTAGGGCCTCTGTGCATGCTAGGCAAGTGCTCTCCTGTTCAGCTACACCCCTAGTCCCTTTTTAATTTTTAGCATCAGCCCTGGCTGACTGCTCCCTAGTGGCCAGGCTTACAAGCATGCACCGCCACTCTGCCTGGCAAGGGAAGTTTTTACCGTCCGCGAACATGCAACATAAGTGGTGCAGCCTAAGGTGAGCGGTGGCAGGCATCCGAGGCCCAAGAAAGGAAGGGGGCGTGGAGGGGCTTCCGTCGCTGAGCCCCAACCCTGACAGCCGTCTCTTTCTCCCGCAGCCATCTCTCCGTGCAAGATCTTGAAGTGCAACTCAGAGTTCTGGAGCGCCACGTCGGGCAGCCACGCCCCGGCCGCGGACGACGCGCCTGAGTTTTGTGCTGCACTGCGCACTTACGCGCTGTGCACACGGCGCACGGCACGCACCTGCCGGGGCGACCTAGCCTACCACTCCGCAGTCCATGGCATCGAAGACCTCATGAGCCAGCACAACTGCTCCAAGGATGGCCCCACCTCGCAACCGCGCCTGCGCACCCTCCCTCCGGCCGGGGACAGCCAGGAGCGCTCGGACAGCCCCGAGATCTGCCACTACGAGAAGAGTTTCCACAAGCACACAGCTGCCCCCAACTACACGCACTGTGGGCTCTTCGGGGACCCGCACCTCAGGACTTTTACAGACCGCTTCCAGACTTGCAAGGTGCAGGGCGCTTGGCCGCTCATTGACAATGACTACCTGAACGTGCAAGTCACCAACACACCCGTGCTGCCCGGCTCCGCCGCCACCGCCACCAGCAAGGTGAGTGTTCTTAGCACATGGGCGCCTGGTTTAGGAAGGCGAGCTCTGAAGATCTTTGCCATGAAGGACACCAGCATAGCTCCATCTCTCCTTGTCCCCAACATCCCCTCTCACTGGTACCCTTCAGTGGCCTCTGTTAGGAACCTCACCACACCCCTGGAAGGTGCATCTGTAGTTCTAGGCGCTCTGATGGCTGGCAAACCTCCTGAGTTCCACCTGCTGTCCGATCAGCAGCCCTTCTAGATTCTCACAGGACCTTGAACACCACTGTGAACCCCTAAGGCAAGGAACCTAGTTTGCTGCTCCACTGAATAATCCCAAAACTCACTCACCAACCTCCCAGCATGTACACTGAAGTATGTGAAAAAAAATTGGCTGCCACAAAACTATTCCCTGGTACAGAGAAGATGGGGATCGTGGCCCTAGAATTTTGCCTGGGGTAGGGTTTGTGAAGCCTGTACCCTGGTTTCACAAACCATCATACCTATCTGTAGATAATTCTTAATACTGGGCAAGTAGAACAAGATAGCTGAGTGTAGCATAGCTAGGAAAGACCGCCTGCAAATACCTTGTTCAGGGTGAGAATAAGTGTTGAGGCTGGGGAGATGGCTCAGGAGAATAAGCACTTGCCTGGCAAGTGCAAGGGCCTGAGTTCAATCCCCAGTTCGGCCCTAAATAAATAAATAAATAAGTGTTGAGGACAGGTGAGTTTTTGGTGTGCTTGTGTATGGATATGTGAGCATGCGCATACAGCACTGGGTGGAGATACAAATGGGTTTCTTATCGGTGGTGTAGTCAGAAAAGTTTAGAAGCTTGGCATGGTGGCACACGCCTATAATCCCAGCACTCAAGAGGCTGAGCCAGGAGGATCGCTGTAAGTTTGAGGCTGAACTACATAGTGAGACCCTGACTCAAAAGAAAAAAGTAGAGCCCAGGGTGGTGACACTCACCTATCATGCCAGCTAGTAAGGAGACTGAGGCAACAGGATCAATATTTCGAGGCCTCCCTGGGCAACTTAGCAGCACCCTGTCTCAGAATTCTAAAAGAGGGACTGGAGACATAAAGGGGTGATGGAGTTCCTGCCTAGCCTGTGTAAGGCCTTGGATTTGATCCCCAGCGAGGCCAAATGTGAGAGTAGAAATGTTACTCAGTACACTTGTGTTTTCAGACTTTTGGTGTGGTTTTTTCTTACCTGTGAACTTGGAGCAACTCTGGAACCAACGAGGAGGCTGAGTGGCAGGGACATGTGTGTTCTATCCTGGCCCTCATGAAGCAGGCACCACCCTGGACAGTGGGCCCTGGCAGGCGCCTTCCTGTAGCTGCTTGTTTGTACTGCACAGGGTGCAGTGGACAGTGACGCAGCCCCCTGTCCCGGATACACACAGCCCCTCCTGGCAGCTCAGCCACCTTACTATATGCGTGGGTCAGAGATAGCTTTATTTTCTTTAAGACCCTAGTGATCTTTATTTTGTTTAAGCAGCACGAAGAGGTTTACTTGGCAGAATTTAAAGCATACGCTCGCATAACAGTAGAAGGGCTGGCCAAATAGCTCAGCAGATTAAAGTGCCTGCAAGCAGGCTCAGGGGCTGGGCCCCGGGCCTGTCTTGCCGGCCCCACCCCCGGGGTACACTGAGACAGCAATTGAGACTGGGCATGATAGCACCGGCCTGTAATCTACGAGTCTGATCTAGTAGGGACACCTTGAGCACCCTGTAGACCCTTCCCTGTGATGGAACTCTGAGGGCCCTGGGGCTGCTGGCGTGGTCCTGCCCTTCACACCTTTGTCCTACCCGCACACTGAGGTAGTCTGAGCCCTGTGCACCTGGGAAGGAGGAAGACAGCAGGGTGAGAGGGAACAGAAGCAGCTTCACTGGGCATGCCAGGGAGCCCCTACCCAGCTCCCAGGGCATGGCCCATGGGACAGATCAAGAGCCCGTGGCTCTGGGAGGCTCCCAAACCTCCCCCCAAATGTCATAGGCCAGAAACACAGCAAGGATTTGTCCTGGGCCAGGGTGGCCCCAGAGGCTACTGAGAGGCACTCATTTTCTGACCCCAGGAGGCCCCCGCAGGACAAGTCCTGCTTGGATGGCCACTGCCAGAGGCAGCCACAGGCATAGCCTGTGACCCCAGGAATGGGTCCCTCCTGTGCCCCCCGGAGGCTTCCTGTCCTGCTTGGTTGGAGGAAGGTCTTTGGTGACCTCAGGTTCAGATCTGACTAGCCATGAGGCCTCGAGACTGGGCGGGAGACTGCAGTCCTTAGAGCCACAGATGGGGCTCTTCTGTCCTCCACCCTGGCCACTGAGCTGTCTTGGCTCAGCCCTTGGAGCCCCCCTGGGGCAGGCTGGCTTTAGCCACAGTGGGCTGTTTCCCCAGGAAGGGCATTTTGGAAGGCCACGTGTTGGGCAGCGCCAGCTGGCCCACAAGGGCGTTCCTGTTCCTTCCCACCCTGTCACATTCAGGAAAGGACAGTAAGGTGACCGGGTGGCCAGGAAAATGTCCATCCCCTCAACTTCCCTCTGCGCTGGTGGCCTTAGGCTCCCCGCCAGGTAGAAAGCAAGTAGATCTCCACTGTGGACACTGTCCCAGGCCAACAGCACATGTGTGTCCCCACCTACACCCCGCAGACACCAGGGCCCAGCTGCCTGCCCACAGCTCCTTCACCCACCACCACCCTGGCTGTCTAGAGCCAAGATAAACTGTGCTGGAGTCCGAGGCTGCAGCTTCTAAATCTAGAGGCAAACATCCTGCGGGAGGGGACCGGCCTCCCCACCACGGGCTCCTGAGGGCTGACAGGGGCCCAACAGGTCTCAGAGTGTGAGAGGGACAAGGACCCCAGTGGTGTGGACTCCAAGTGTGATGGCTGAGCCAAAGCAGTTGTGGTGTACAATGGCAGAGGCCAAGCTGCTTTTCTGGGGGCTTACGGGTAGCTGCCAGACGCCACCTTCAGTTCTCAGCTGAGACGCTGGGACCCTCAGCACAGCAGTGCTGTCCTGAACCGAACGGATGAATCATTCATTCATCCATCTGTGAATTTAATTCATTCACTGGATCCGAGTGTTTCAAATGCCTCTTCTAATCCAGCCGTGGGCACCTTGGACCGCCCAGCAGGCCTGGGTGGGGGAACCCTCCCTCATTGCGCCAGTCCAGAGGTTTCCAGAGGGTATGGAGCCATGTGGCAGAGCTCGGCCGCCCCAGCTGCTTGGGGACTGAGCTGCCTTTGATCTCCGCAGGCTTAGGGTTCAGGGCCTCTTGGGCCAGCTGTGGTGGGGGCCGGTTAGGGCACTGGTGCCTGGGGCCAGGCCAATTTCAGATCTCGGGCCAAATGGGGGCCCTGTGGTCCCTGGGTGAGAAATGCCAGTCCCTACTGCCCTGGCCTGCCCGTCTCTTCCTGGAAGCCTCTGCCCGACTCACACCCCTGTTGCCTCCATGCCCACCCTGAGCACGAGGCTTCTCTGCCTGTTCTGGTGCCTAGGCAAAGGAGAACCCAGGCAAAGGAGAGTGGAGCCTACAGAACAATGCGGGGGGCTTCAGGACCACAACTGCATGCTAATGCAGTGGCACCAGGGGACAGTGGCAAGCCCCAGGCAAAGAGGACTGATGGCCTGGGGCCTTGGGAGAAGTAGAGAGCTTTTATCCCCAAGGTAATGGTCCCCAGCACCCTCTCTGGCTTCCTATTCCCAGCTGTGTGGGCAGCACCTTTTTTTTTTTTTTTTTTTTTTTTAGAAATGGGGATTGAACTCAGCCCCTTGCGCTTGCCAGGGAAGCACTTATTCCACTGAGCCATCTCCCCGGTCTAGGCCAAGAAACCGAGGCTCAGATGAAAGGACCTGGGACGTGCACTGCCGTTAGTTTCCCCTACATCCCCCGCCTCCCTGTCACTCTGCAGGCTGCATCTTGGGTCACTGCCCCTCCTCCCTCTCCCAACCCTGTACCCACTATGTCCTGGCGCTGGCTTTGGACCCCACTTGAAGCCTGGGCTCACCCTCTTGTCACAGGGGAGAGGCCCAGGGCTGTTTTGGCAGAGCGCCGGTGCTCGACAGGCCCCTTCGTGCTGTTGCTTGTGGTTGAGACTGGCACGGGTGCCAACGAGAGCAGGCACTTGTCAGCCTTTCCGGAGGCTGTCTCTGAGCAAGAGGAAGAGAGAGATGGGGGGGATGAAACCAGCCCTTCCTGTTCCAGGGAGCCAGGCGATGGCACTTGGAAAGCGGCCCTCTCCAAGTGCAGTGTCTGTGTGGCCCTGTGCCCTGGGCAGGGACACTGGGGCCCATGAGGCATCCCCGCCCCTGCTAGGAGCAGGACCACCCACTGTGCAAACCACCCTCGCTGTCCCACTGTGCCCTGCCCATGGCCTCCCCCACGGTGGGCACTGGGTGAACCACCAGCCAGAGGGGAGAAGTGGGAAGCTGAATCCCCTCCAGTTGCCCCTGTGGAAAGGCTGCTGCTGCCCCAGACCTGGACGCCCACCCCAAGCACCAGGGAGGGAGGGGGGGAAGTGGAATGCGGTGCTGCCGTGGCCACATGGCCAGGACCCCTCAACCTTGGTCCAGTCCTGCGTAGTGGGCAGAATGTGCCCTCACCCCACAGGCCACAGGCCACAGGCCACAGGCCCACGGAAAAACTCATTTCTTCTCAGGTCACAAGAAGACAATTGGTGTGATCCAGCCCTAGCTACACATGTCCTTACATCAGTATGATCAGAAAATGCAACTTTTAATTCCTCCCTTACAGAGGCGGGGCCCTGAGGCCGCAGTCACAGCGAGACTTGCCCTCCTTTCTGATCTGAGGGAGGACTTTACTTCCTCGGTCACACTGGCTGGGTGTTTTCTCTGTGTCCTCCTGAGGGTCTCCTGCCCCATGCCTCCCCACCCCTGCCTGGTCACCCCTAATGTCACAGTGTTGGGGAGCTGCTCACAGATGGCACTGCAACAGGGACACCTCCAGCGCTCTTGCCTCCCTGCTGTCCTGCTCAACCTAGAAGGTTCTAGAAGGCTCTGCAGCCTCGATCTCCCTCGTAGGCCCAAGCCCCTGAGGTCAGGCCCTTGTATCCACCCAGCCAAGCCACTCTGGTTCCCCTCAGCCTCCCACACCTTGCTGTGCCTAGCCACATGGAATGGCAGCTGCTCACCCCCAGCCTGTGTCCTGGCCCCAGTCCCCACGCTGTGTCCTCATGGCCTGTCCGTCTGTGACTGTCCTGCCTGCACCAAAGTCATCCTTCAACCTTTCATTTACTCTGGTGTCTGCACTCTGGGACTCCATCCTTGTCCTATACATGCTATGAGACCAGGGGCTCCCTTAGGACTTTGTGACATTGCCACCCCAGTGGCCTGGCAGGAGTGGGGTGTCCTTTGGGGTCTCTGGCACACAGGCGTGAACTCTGTCCCACAGCAGGTAGGGACTGGGGCTTGGGATTTCAGTTGAGTGGTCAGCCAGGGAGTCCAGGTTGACTCCTACTTCCAGGAGCTGGATTAGGGGAAAGCATTGTGCATGTCCCCAACCCGTGTCTTCCAGCTGGCTCACATCATGGAGGAAAGAGCAGCAGGCCTCGCACACACCTGGGATGCTGGTGGAAAAACACAGCCCCCCTTCCACCAGGCTGTTGGCCGGGGCCCTTCTCCCTAACCTCCTTTCCCATTCCTCCCAGAAGGGCAGTGCCTGCAGCCTGAAGCCTCTGTCCCTGTGGGTAACCCACCCCTTCCTCCTTCCCCTCCAAGGCCTGGCTCAGGTGTGCCCCCTCACAGCAGGGGCCCCTGGCAGTGTGGAGACTGTCAGCGAGCAGATTGGTATCTTGTGGCTACTGCTGCTACACCAGTTGCCATAGAAGGAATAGTTCAAACCAACAGAACTTTGTCCTCATAGAATTCTGGGCTCAGAAGTCCATAGAGAGTCTCATGAGGCTAGAAGCTTGGTAGGGCTCCTCTTTCTGGAAGCTCCAAGGCAGGACCCACCTTTTACCCTCCTGCCTCCTGAGGCTGCTGAGACCCAAAACCTGTGGCCTGATATCTTTGGGCACCATTTTTCACCCTACCACAAATAACCTTTTATTTTTAATTAGCTTTGTTTCTTTTGTTTTTCCGTTACCATTTTGTGTCAGATTTCTTTTTTTAATCTTTATTTGTATCAGTCCCTGTTTGTAGTACATAATGCTGGCATCCCCGTGGGGAGTTGGTACCTGTGCGTGGCACGTCTTCATTCTTTTTGGGTCCTTGCCTGTCCCTTCCCTCTCACCTCGCTCTGTCTCTTGGACCCCCTTCCATTTGCAAGAGGTTGGTCTTCCTATTTCCTATCATCGTTTACTTCCCCCTTTAATGTATTTAGACTTTGGGTGTCTCACTTAAGAGAAACCATCTCTGTGTTTCTATCACTGTAGTTTGTCTATAGAAGAAATGACCTCATTTTCTAATTTGAGAGGTGACCTAAAGTTTTCTGAGGAGTTGTTTTGTTTAAGTTAAAAGGGCAAGTTTGTTTCAAGAAAAATATCATCGCCTAGTTGTGCAGCTGTACCTGAACTCTGCGTCCTGGGAAGGGGACGCACTGGTGTCCTGGGGCCCCTCCAAGCCATCCCCTCCATCCCGGCATCGGAGGTGTAGGACAGCCTCTCCCCACGCCTGACCCAGTGTCCTCTGCCCCCACCCCACAGCTCACCATTATCTTCAAGAACTTCCAGGAGTGTGTGGACCAGAAGGTGTACCAGGCCGAGACAGATGAGCTTCCGGCCGCCTTCGCCGATGGCTCCAAGAATGGCGGGGACAAGCATGGGGCCAACAGCCTGAAGATCACAGAGAAGGTGTCGGGGCAGCACGTGGAGATTCAAGCCAAGTACATCGGCACCACCATCGTGGTGCGCCAGGTGGGCCGCTACCTGACCTTCGCCGTCCGCATGCCCGAGGAAGTGGTCAATGCCGTGGAGGACAGGGACAGCCAGGGCCTCTACCTGTGCCTGCGGGGCTGCCCACTCAACCAGCAGATCGACTTCCAGGCCGTCCGGTCCCAGGTAGAGGGCCCCGGTGCCCATGGGCCAGCAGCCACCAGCCAAGCTCCCGAGGCCCCTGAGACATTCCCCTATGAGACAGCAGTGGCCAAGTGCAAGGAGAAGCTGCCCGTGGAGGACCTGTACTACCAGGCCTGCGTCTTCGACCTCCTCACCACAGGCGATGTGAACTTTACACTGGCTGCCTACTACGCCCTGGAGGATGTCAAGATGCTGCACTCCAACCAGGACAAGCTGCATCTGTACGAGAGGACTCGGGAGCTCCCGCGCGGGGTGGCGGCTGCAGCGTGGTCCCCTGGCCCCCGGCCAATCCTCAGCCTCCTCCTGCTCCTCACCCTGCTGCCTGTGTTCTGCTAGGTAGTGCCACGGCCTCAGACAGGGAGACAAGGACTCTGCCCCTGCCCTCCTCTGAGTGCTGGGGACACCAACCTGGGGCCGATGCCCAGTGTGTGGCCTGGGGTCTCTGTAGTGTTCTGGAGCCGAGCCAGCCCCAGCCAGGTGGCATTGTGGCCCGTGGTGGATGGCTCCCTCCCAGCTGTCTCTGGCCGGGGCTTGAAGGCAGGGGGCTGCCTAGGCCTCTCTAGTGCACATGACAGGTTATGGTGATTGGTGCTGTGGTGTCTGTGACAGTAGATCTGTGTGAGGGGGGAGCAGCTTGCTCTGCCCCACCCCTGCTGTGTGAATGCAACACAGCCCCAGGCGGGAGCCCAGTGGGCATGGTCCGCATGACCCCTTGCAGCCCCTCGCAATGCACTGAAACAGGCCCAGCTGACCGCTGCACGCGCACACACACTCACCCCAGCACACTCGCACTCAGCCCGCGGGGCGGGCAGGGCTCCCTCCCAGTATAGGTAGGACACCCCAAGACGCTGCTCACGACCTTGCAGCCTTGCTTGCACCAGCAGGCTGTGCCCCCTGGCACTTCCCACTAGGACATGAGGGGTCTTGCCCAGTTGGCTGCCACCGCCCTGAGAGCCAGTGGTTGGAAGGACATGTGTGTGGGTGTGGGGTTCAAGCAGGGCCACTCCTGAGCTCTGCGCCCATCCCTGCTGTGTGTAAGAAAGGTGAGTGCTGGCTTCCAAGTGTCTACACCAAGAGGAGACCATCTGGCTCCCTTCTTCCCCAAGAGGGGGCTGGGCAGGAGATGGGGACAGGGCCAGCTGGCCTGCCCTGTCCTCTGCTTGTTCCTCCCCGGCACGGTACTGGGAGCCTCACTGCACGTGTGTCTGGGCACTAGGTCAGGAGCCCTTGGCAGGATGTCACCCTCTGATCCCTTCCCCAGAGACCAGCAGGGCTCCCAAAGCCTCTTCTCTCAGAGGTGCATGAGGTCCAGTGGGCCATCTTGCCCTGTCCCCAGTCTTTGGCGTCTGCAGCAGCCCCTCCGCTGTCCCCAGGGACCTCTCATACACTGGCCAGGAGGCTGCAAACCTGCGGCTCCCATCCCCCCCCTCCAGGTCCTACTCTTGGGAATCCATGCTAGGGGTGGGGGGCACTCTCCCCCTCCAGCTGGTTTTTTGTTGTTTGTCTGTTTAGATGACCCCTATGTTGGAAGTAAAAAGTTGAAGCACTTTATTTTGGTTGTGTTTGATCCCATTCTGCTTGGAAGTGGGGACTCCGCACCTGTCCCTGACAGCGGCCGTGTGGAGGAGTGTCACCACTTGTACAGACTGTAAATTATTTATTAATGGCTAAATGCAAGTAAAGTTTGTTTTGTTTTGTTACTTTCTTCTGCACCACAGTTGGAGTCTGTTTTCTGAATGGACCGTGGGCCCCTCGGGGGTGGGCGGATGCCTGGAAGGAGGCACCTCCGTGAAGTCCCTGCCAGTCCTTCCCTGGGTGGGTGGGGGTCTGGCAAGTACAGGTCCCTGGCTCAGAACGTTGGTGACTGCACAGTGGAGGGACACAAAGTGCCACTGGACATGGCCGGAGGAGAGGGGAACCGCAGCTGCAGGAGAACGAGTCTCGGCCCCCACTGGCGAGCCCAGGCCTGGCGCCAGTGCCTCCCTGCCTGCAAGTACCCTCCTCGAGACGAAGCCAGGGGGGACCCCTGCATGCACGTGGAGTTCTCTGCTGGCTGTGGCCTCATTTCAGCCCTGCAAGCAGCCCAGTGCCTCAGGAGTGGGTCCAGACCCTTTTTGCAGGTAGAGGTGAAAAGGTAGAATTCACTTTCAAGCAAGGTAGAACCAAGACAGACATGGGGTCTCTGTCCTGGAGTCCCTGCCCTTAGTGCTAAAGGCCACTGGGCAGGACAGCAGTGCACTGTTCTGGGACACATCCACTTCTCCACCGTGCCTGCTGCGTGACTGTGGGCAAGTCACTGAACCTCTCTGAGCCCCTGGACCCTCTCTGTGGAGCGAGGGGCGTCTGTCTTGTGAGGTCTGGTGTTTCTGTGGGTTTTTCCACCCCCGCACAGTGGTGCACAGGATGTCCCGTGCTGGCAGGAGGTGGGACAGGTGTGGGAGGGAGGTGACCTGAGGAATCCAAAGAGCAAGGGCTGTAGCAGTCCCAGGTGGGACTAGGCCTGGGTACGATGGGAATTCCCAGGGCCCTGCTCTTAACACAAATGGGGGGGGGGGGCTGGGTTTGCAAGGAAGGAACCCGCAGGGAAGGGCAAAACACCTCCTCTCACAGCAGGGCGGAGGGACCTGACCCTGGCAGCTTCTCAGAGAAACCTCTGGGAAGCCGGCTCAGGAGGGGATCCGCTCATGCACTATGCCCTGAAGATGCTGTGCGATGCTTGCCAGGAGATACTCTCGGTTTAAAATTTATTCAGGACAATCCCTGTTGGGGGCTGGGAGATGGCTCAGTGGAATAAGTGCTTCCCTGGCAAGCCCAAGGGCCTGAGTTCAATCCCCGGCTCCACAAAAAAAAAAAAAAAAAAGACCCTCCCTGTTATTTAACCTGCAGGAATTCTTGCCCAAGCACCATGCGCCCCGTAGCCCCCCAGAACTTTTTTTTTTT